TGCTCTCCTCTTGGACTACAGCATTACCCCTTCCTCACTTCGGTTACCTTCTTCCCCTCTTCAAGGGCCGTCCAATGGGGGATGTCTCCCAACTTAAATCAAGCCTACAGTCCTTGTGGGCTGAGCTGAGAAGAGCCCTAAGAAAAGGTGCTGAGTGGGAGGGAAAGCCAAGTATCCCTGGCCTCTTCCTCCTGGGCTTTTAGTGCAGCTGATCACCCACCTGGAGAGGCTCACACCGGGTGTAGCCCCCACTGATCGTGTGTTTCATTCAGTATATGTTTTCTAAAAAACTGTTTTAGGATCATGTGTTAGGACATGAATGCCAACCAGCACATGTCAGCTGTTGTCAGACATGTGCTGTTGTCAGAGGTCAGAGAAAGAGGCTGACAAATCCAGCTTTTCAGAAATAAATATTTAATAGGGACTTAGGAATGGAAGCTATGTCTGTGTCTTGGGCAGCGTTGAGACAAGTTGTTGGATCCCTGAGCCATTATTACCCCCTAAACCCAGGGCTACAGACCACAGAGAAAAAGGATGGATGCGATTCAGATGGGGGTGTAGGACCGTTGCTTAAGGGCAGTACTTGTGGTAAATACAATAACATCAAGGTTGTTTAGTAAGTACCTACACTTACACAAGGAGCAATAAACTGGAAATCTTAGAGGCCTTTCCAGAACCAGAGTTAATCAGAAGTCAACATGGCAGATTCTCTTCCAAGATGGAGTCGCCTTGACCTCCACGTGTATACCAGAGACTGCTCATGTGATGAGGACAAAAGAGAAAGATTCAAGGGGGAAGGAGAGACATTTTATAACATATTAGTCTGTTCTTAGAGCACTTGATTTTATTTCAGTAGAGATGTATGCCCCCAAGACAGAGACTCAGATGACTCCCCACAGAATTCTGGGATAAGAAGAGACAGACTTTTTCCAGGATCAAGTGGAGAGCAGAGTAATCTAGAGAAGGGATCCTTGAGCTTGGGTCTCACCAACCCTTACTCAGAGTGTGACTGTTCTCAACGCCCCTTTTGTAAAATGGGGAAATACCTTCCCTGAATGTGGTATTTGTGGGCAGTTGTGAGGATCAAATGAGGAGTTTGCTTTCAGTCGCAGGGGTCTGATATTCTATGTGAGTGGGACCACTGAAGCTTTCAATGATGAGTCTTGCAGGGAGGGCGTTTTTGAAATCAAACTGAGATGATAACCCTGAGAAATAGACTTGGATTTTTAGCATCTTCCTTATTACACTGTTATAGGCACTGTTCTGACAAGGGTGTCTGTAGCATTCACTAGAATGCCAAAGCAGTCCATGAGCCAAAAGAGTCAAGAACTCCTACCCTAGAAGGTCAGTGGGGTGGATGCCCCTGTTGGGTTGCCCCTTAAAGCTTATAGCTTGCCTTTCTGCACCAAGAATTTGGCACCTTAAAATGAAGATATTATGTAGCTGGGCATCTAATCAGAAGGATCAGGAGATGTGCGGAGGGGGAATGTAGGAAGAGGATAGGGGTGTTAATGGAGGGGGTGGTAGAAAGGGGTGGCACTAAGAACCCGAGGCTCTTTCTCTCTCGTCCCTGTGTTATGAACAGTCTGGCCCACTAAATGCATTTAGTTCCCAACTTCCCAACCAAGATACTAAACCGTTTGTACAGGCCCCATCGTGTGACAGAATGAAGCATCAGTCACAGGGAGAGATTCCTGACATTAACATCCAAGAGAAAGAAATTGGATATGAAGGCCTTCTCACTGACACATCACCCAACCCATCTTGAAGGTGGCTCTGTCAGATGGGGCTGGCCAGGCAACGACTGTCCTTCCCTGCTTCCCATGGGTCCCCCCCAAAGCAGAGACTGAGCAGGCAGGGCCTCTGGGGGCTAAGAACTGTTTCTCAGGCACAGCCTTCTCATCAGCAGGAGTGCTGCTCAGCTGTCTCTCCTGTTCTCCCTCCAGCTCCATCTCTGCACCCTTGGAGGGTCTGAAGGCCTGAATAGGAGCTGGGTCCTGACCATGATGTCTGGAGCCCTGGAGCTCCAGGACTGGGGCTGGATGTCAGGTGGGAGAGACCGAACTATGGCTCCTCAGTTGGGGGACCTCCATAGGAGCCCCAATGCTGAGTTGGAGCCAGGAGGAAACCACAGCTGTCTTGAGTGCTCACAGCCTCCATGCAGGCAGTGACCCAGCTCCAGGCACGTTTGCACGCCCTGTCTGCATTTCCAGGGCACGCTGGACAAACCCCCAGCTTCCTCAGGCACCTCACACTCCAGAGGCATAACACTTACCTCTTCCGGAGACTCATCCCAGCGCCCGTCACTGTAGGCCTTTGTGTCTTTTTCCTCTTCTCCCATCCCCCTCTGCCAGCTTATTACTAGCTGTATTAGTCTGCTCAGGCTGCTGTAACAAAATACCACAGACTGGGTAGTTTCAACAACTGAACCTTACTTTCTCCTAGTTTTGGAGGTTGTGGAAGTTCAAAATTAAGGTGTCAGTAGAAATGGGTTCCCCTAAAGCCTCCCCTGTTAGCTGGTAGGCAGCTGCCTTCTCGCTGTGTCCTCACACAGCCCTTCCTCTCTGCAGCACTGGGGTCTCTTCCTGGTCTTATAAAGACACCAGCTGCACTGAGTTAGCGTGCCACTTTAGTACCTAATTTAATCGCAATTCATTCTTTAAAGGCTCCATCTCCAAAAACTATCACATTGGGGATTTAGGGCTTCAACAGATGCATTTTTGCGGGGGGACATAATCCAATCCATAACAGTAGCTGGGTATACAAGGCTGTCCTCAGAAGCAAGTAGGAACCATGGTGTTGGATGTCCTCCAGGATGGGGAGGAGCTAAAGAGCACACTCCAGCAGAGAAGGACCTTCTGTCCTCCCAGCCAGTCTCCCCATCTGTTTGCTCTCACCTGAAATTCATCCCAAGGGTTTCATGATAATCACCTCAAGCTTTGATCCTAATTAAACTAATTTAAAAATCACATTTCTTCCCTGGAAGAGGTAGCTATTGGTTCCTTTAGTTTAATAAAATACTAGTCAACCAAACAGAATCAGAATTCCCTGACCTACCTTCCTTCCTTCCTTCTCCTCCTGTCTTCCTTCCTTTCTTTTCTCTCTTCTCTTCTTTTTCTTCTTTTCTTCTATCTTTCTCTCTTTCTTTTTTTGTAGAGAAAGGGTCTCATCGTGTTTCCCAGGCTGCTCTCTAATTCCTGGGTTCAGGCAATCCTCCCACCTTGGTCTCCCCAAGTGTTAAGAATACAAGCGTGAGACACTGTGCCTGGGCGAAGGCCGAAATTTTAAGGTATTTTTTAAAGATAAAAGTATCTTAAAATTACAAAAGTACATATCTGAGGGTGGGCTGTGAAATAAAGCGTTTGAAATAGATTGTCTTTGTGGTCACTTTCAGCTCGCTGGATAACCTTAAAAATCATACATTGGGTCGGAATCTCAGGAGTCAGATCTCCAAACAGCTCATCCCAAGAAGTTCCAGCAGAGGGCACCAAAGGACCGTGAGCGCTGGTTCTATAACATTCCCCTGGCGTCAAGACGAAACACCCCCACCTTCCGCATCAGGTGGAACCAGAACAAATCTTCCTTTGCTATCTGTGGCTCAAGAATGTTGTGCCCAGTCCACGCACGGTGGCTCACGCCTGTAATCCCAACACTTTGGGAGGCCAAGGTAGGAGGATCGCCTGAGCTTGGGAGTTCTAGACCAACCAGCCTGGACAACATAGTGAGATCTTGACTCTACAAAAAATAAAGTATTATCTGGGCATGATTGTACACACCTGTAGTCCCAGCTACTTAGGAGGCTGAGCTGGGAGGATCACAGGAGACCAGGAGGTTGAGGCTGCAGAAAGCTGAGACTGCGCTACTGTACTCCAGCCTGGGCGACACAGTGAGATCATGTCTCAGAAAAACAGAATGGCATGTGCTTATAGAAAATGAGATTCTGAGCCAGTCAATGATTTGTCTCCAGGAAACTGACAGTTAAATAGGAGAGAAACCCAAAGTTTCTTCCAAAATTACATTTATTTTTCTCAATTCAGAAAGTCTCAAGGCCAAAATTTAATGTTAATGTTTTCGTTTACATTTGGCTTTATCCCAAAAAGGGTTTAAGGCAGTGTCACCAAGTTACCAGGTCTCTATTTCATCCTATTTACACAAGATGAAGGAGACTCAAGTCTGTTCGTATTTGCCCCAGGGAACAGGCTCTATTTAGTGACAGGCATTTGACTATTTGACTTAGAGTTTGCCAAAATGAAGTGAGGGGAATTTGGTCCAGGGATGAGGACAGATCCATTTGGAATGAAAACATAATAACTTTGAAGTGATTCCAATGGCAAAAAATGATCAGCGAAAGCTTTTCTGAGAGCAGGCAGGAATAAGGCGGCTAGCCCTCCGGCCAGCATGAGATGGGGTCTCTGGACCAGTCTGTCATTCATAACCTAACATTCGGCCAAGCCACTTCCTCTCTCTGAGAATCATTTTCCTCTTCTGTGCATAAGGGAAGAGGATCAGACAACCATGTCAGATATGGGAACCTGAGGGGACTTCATGGCTTTGCAGGAAAAAAGCTCAAACGTGTTTTTTGCATTGGGCCTGTGTGGGACATAGGTGTTCTGGGAGTGAGGGGAGGCCTTGGAAGGGAACTGCTACTGCTAATGATGTTTAAGAGGTGACTTTGTGTGGGAACTGCCACTCAATCCTTCCTGTCTGCACAATGTATTTCCAGCCTCAGCACCTCAGAACAAGGGAGGGAGACCAGGGAGAGGTTTTCATGGTGTCTAGCCTGGAACTCTCTGTCAGTGAAAGCTAGGAGAGGCCAAAGGCACCTGCTCCAGGCTCCTCTGCACAGCCCTGACTGCCCTGAGCACCTCATGCTTACTCTATGAGACCCAGTCTGGAGTATCAGACCAGGCTGTGTCCCATCCCTGAGGAAGTACACGCCGCTTCAATCCCCACTAGGGGCACCATTTCAAGTCTGCTTAGAAAGAAACAAATACACAGAGTATCAGGCAAACACAAATTATTTTGGTTTTAATCTTTACTTTCAATCCCCAACAATCTTGTTTCTTTTCATTACAAAAGCACTAAACAAACACAGACAGGAGAAGAAACGGACATTTGCAAATGAAGTACCTTCGACAGGCATCTCAACAGCCCCATCACCAACACCTGTGTGCAAGCCACAGCCAACAGGCAGAACAGTCTCAGGACTCAGAACTACACCATAAATGCAGGATCTTTTTATTTCATAAAAAAATGATCAGTGTGAAAAAAGCCAAACCGCATGCTGGTTTTACACACTCTGACCCTTCCTGACAGTCTTCTTGTCTGGCCAGGCCAGGGGCCCGGCACTCCTGGAAGGGAGAGGCAGCCCAGCATCTCAGTATTTCATTGGGACAACAAGCTGGATGTGGCAGGGAAAGCCGAGAGCGCCAAGGTCCCCTTGCTTTATCCCAAGCTCGGAGGGATGCAGCCTGGAGTGGCAGTGGTCTAGCAGCCAGGTGACACGGCCAGGCACCTTCCTGTGCAGGCCATGGGGCCTCCTGGCCCAGGCTCACTAGAAGGTCTTCTCTGTGGCGCCTACCTAGGCAGCTGTGATCAAGTCGAGCAGCCATGCAAGGCGTTTCAGTCTGACTTTTTTATGAGTTCCTCCCTCCAGCCCCTCTGAGAAGGAAACATCAGTCCACAGTGCCATTGTAGGATTTGTTGAACTTGTTGAAGGTGAAGTCTACGGTGTGCGTGGAGATGGGCTTTCTGTACAGTGGGTTTGAAGCCTACAGAACACGGCAGGGAAGAGGATGAGGATACATGTTAGCTCACACACGCAAACCGGCAGACGCAAGCCCTAGAAACCTTCCCAGGTCAACCCCCTGTGACAGCAGCAGGCAAAGCACTCAGGTGGGAGGAGATGGCCGTGGGCTCCAGGAGAGCTCCGTGTCCCCGGAAAGACCTCACCTTCTCTACGTTTACACTCTCTACCTCTGGAAGGAGGAGCTGAGTCAGAAGGTCTCTGAAGTCTTTTCCAGCCTTAACAGAAACCAAGCCCGGAGTTCAAAAGGCACTGACTCTGTGCTCAGTCCTTTGGGCGTTTGCAGTCAGCCTGGGGTGACCAGACTGCAGGTGTGTGTACTATAATGGACCACAAGAATCTAAGCTCCTTTCCTGTGGGTCTGTGGTCTCTCTGAGACTGGTCAGACTCCTCCTGCCAAGGTGTGCCCAGCGCCTCTGCCCCCATGACCCTCCTGACCTGGGTCTAGAACAGGGATCTGTGCGGGTCCCTCTGCACCAGGGCTGTGCAGTTCTCTCTGTCCAGAACTGGGCACAGCCTTTCTGGCATTGATTTTTTGTTTTTAATGCCAAAGATGTTAGTGCTAACGTAGCAGTGAATTCAGGCATGGCTCTAAGCTTGAAGTCCCCTCTGCTTCCCACTTTCCACAGGCTTACCATTTCATAGCGGGCCCTGGATCGCTCGCTCTGGAACTTTGCAAACTCCCTCCGGTCATGGATGGTGACAAGCAGCTTCCAGATAGCCAGGAGTGCAAGCCCAACCAGGAGGATGCTGCCAACCACAGCCAGGAGGATGGTCATGGCGTTGGGGGTGTTTCCGCACTCTTGGGGGACCAGAAGCATGGTAAACAAAGCCACCAGCATCCCCATGCCCCTCCCACCACCCAACAGCAGGCATTTCGGAGATGAAGTTGTGCCCCTCACAAAGGCCTCCCCTCGGTTCTCCCTTAGATCCTCACATTGTTTCTGGGAAACATGGGCAGGAAGTTTCCCCCAATGTACAGAAAATGAAAGAGTCAAAAGGGACAGTGACTGTTCCAAAGTCACACAGCAAGTGTGGTGAAGTCTAGATGAGAGCCCAGGGGCACGGCTGCCTTTCCCCTCATGGTCAGTGCCCATGCCCCGCCTTGCCCAGTCTCCAGTGTGGGATGCTGGACCCGCTCAGCTTTCATGTACATGGTTCTAGGAGCAGACTGAACAGGCAGGAGGTACCACGAAGCCACTTCCACAAGGTCTGGGCTGGGGGCCAACATCTGTAAGCCTTTAGTGTGGAGTCCTTTGGAGCAAATGTGCTTATTTTCAAAGAACCGCAGAGACAGCATTGGACACAAAGCCTCATTCTTACAGGCGTGCATCCTAGGCTGGTACCATGCTTCTGCCTCTGGCCTCAGTAAGGCACATTATGTGGTTAGGCCCAACTTGGAAAAATAGTTTGCAGCACTGTGAAGTGAAGAGAGGAAATCTTTTTCTGCTCCACTCCTGCCTCCTCACCCCCAAGAAGAATGTAAGGGGTGATATCAGAAATTCCAATTACTCCAAGGCAAAGGCTGCTGGCCGCTGGGTCCAAGCAGAGGCAGAATATTGGTATCTGGATTAAAGCTTGAGCTCTGCAGTGGTTCTGGGAGCTGAGCATGGCAGCAGCAGGAATGTGGAACTGACCGCTCCACTGTCCTTGGAATCCACACTGAGAAGCAGCGGTGGCCCAGCCTGGACTGTGTGTGGAGCTGGATGGTCCATGACCTGAGTGATGCCCTGCCTAGTCCTTGTGGTCCAGACACCCTGTACCCCTCCCTGCAGAACACAGCAGCTCCTTGCTGCCTTTGGCTGTGCAGGGTAGGTTCGTTCTGTGGTTGCTTTTACCTCTGTGTTCCTCCAAGATGAGACCCTCTCCAGGGACAAGGCCCTATCTTTCCATAACTCCCATTGCCCTGACTCATGCTGCCCTAGAGCTTTGCCCCAAAATGGGCCCCCAGCTGCACATTCATCTTTCTTTTAAACTCTAGGAGTGGAGCAGCAGTGACCTTAGATCTGATCTTCATGAGAAATTGTATTGGTTAGGCGCAGTGGCTCAAACCTGTAATCCTAGCACTTTGGAAGGCCGAGGTAGGTGGATTGCTTGAGCCCAGGGGTTCAAGACCGGCCTGGGCAACATGGTGAAAACCTGTTTCTACCAAAAAAATACAAAAATTAGGCCGGTGTGTTGGTACATGCCTGCAGTCCCAGCTGTTTAGGAGGCTGAGGTGGGAGGATCACCTGAACACAAGGAGGCTGCGGCTGCAGTGAGCTGTGATGGCACCACTGCACTTTAGCCTGGGTGACAGAGTGACAGCCTATCTCAAAACAAAAAAAAAAAAGAAAAGAAAAGAAAAATAAGAAATTGTATCCCTCCTCTCCCTGGAGTTTGGAAAAACCAGTGAGGAGAGAATGGGCAGGGGCCCCAGAGCAGGGAATGGCACCAGAAATCAGAAATGGCAGAGTGACCCGAGCCCCTCTCAGCCCTCACCCACCTGGCTCCCTGAGAACCGTCAGGCTGGACTTCCCACTGGGGAGCTCCGCGTAGGTGAACATCATGACGCAGTCCTTGGGGGTTTTGTAGAAACAAAGCACAGCCTCCTGGTCATCTTTCACTGGAAGAAAACCAAGAGGGAAGTGGCCTGAGTCTCTCTGAGCAGCCCAGAGCCACTGACAGTCAGGGCAAGGAGCCGAGCTCCTGTAAGAAGGAAGGGGTATAGGGGTGTGGGGGTGTGGGCAGAAAGCCTTAAGGGGAGGCTGGCCTTTGAAGATGAGTTCAGGTTTCTCACACCAAGAATACAGGCCCAGGGCTGAATTTAGATGGCTTTGGGGACACGTGGAACATATTAGAGGATCTCCAAGATTCTGAAGTGTTTGTCAGGGGTGATGTGAAATAACAGAAGGTTTTAATGGTTTCGGAGTGGGGTTGGGTGAATGGATTGGCCACGGAAATTAAAGGGCCAAAGAAAGAAAGAAAGAGGGGTCCAAAGTGGCTCCCGCCGGAGGTCATGGCGCTCGCGAAGGCGAGGTCATCAGTTCAAGGCTAACCTGAGCAACCTCATAAAGCTCAAACTGATTGGCAAAAAAAAAAAAAAAGAAAGAAAGAAAGAGCCATCCCAGCCCCCTTTGAGGCTTGAGTGAGGCTTCACATTTGGGAGATAGGCCAGGCCATTTGGGGCTGAGAGCTGACCACAGAGGCCAAGCAGCAGCAACTCCTTCCTGGGATGCAAAACCAAAAAGAACCACAGGGCGATGAGGACAGCAGGAGAGAGGCTGGTGCCCACCGTGGTGCCCACACCTGTAGATAAAGTGAGCCAGTGTGGAGGTCAGCCCCAGACGACACCCAGCCTCCCTTCTCAGTATTAAGAAGTCCCTTCCTCGAGCTGCCTCAGCAACTCCCTGCCCTCTAGCTGCTGTTTCCCACCTTCCCCTGTCCAGGCATTATCTACATTCTAAGGCTCCCCGGGAGAGAGGCGAGGGGTGAGGAAACGTGGCAGCGATGGCAATGGAACCCGGGGAGCAACGGGGCAGGAAATGCTTTCTAGGTCTTGCCTTTTTAACCTTTTTAACCTTGCTGCTTGAACGAGCTGTAACCTGGAAGCAGATGGATTAGTGTGGTTATCAGATACGAAAGCCTGAACTTCCTGTCTCAGCTCTCTTCTGGGCTGGGTGAGTATGAGTGAGCATGTAAGCGTGTGTGTATGAAAAAAACCTGGAAGAAGGAAGATAAAGGGTAAATGATGGATTGGAACATAAACTTTCTCTGCTGCTCTGTCTCAGAGGGCTGGGTTGGGAAGCAGCTGTGCATGAGTGGCCGTAACTGCTGTGAACCAGGCCAACCAGTCCTTGGGCAACAGGAAGACACACTTTCCTTCTCTGACCATGTGTGCCTAGTTAGGGGCAACCAGCCCGGGTCTGTAGGCAGAACCTGAGGTTGGCCAGGCCCTGAGCTGCAAGACAGAAGCCGGGGAAGGAAGACAGGCGTGTGAGGAACCAGACTAGTCCACTCCCCACAGTCTCCTAAGGAGACGGACAACACCTGGCACACAGTAGGTGCTCAGTGAATATGTGTTGGGTGTATACATAGCTCAGATACTGAGAAGCAACCAGGCATGATAGCTTAAACCTGAATGCCAGCATTTTAGGAGGCCGAGGCAGGTGCATTGCTTAACCCTAGGAGTTTGAGACCAGCCTGGTCAACATGGTGAAACCCCGTCTCTACTAAAAATACAAAAAATTAGCTAGGCACGGTGGCGCGTGCCTGTAATCCCAGCTACTCAGGAGGCTGAGGCAGGAGAATTGCCCTGAACCCAGGAGGCGGAGGTTGCGGTGGGCCGAGATCGTGCCATTGCACTCCAGCCTGGGTAACAAGAGCGAAACTCCGTCTCAAAAACAAAAACATAAAAATTAACCAGGCATGGTGGCACATGCCTGTGGTCCCAGCTACTTGGGAGGCTGAGGCAAGAGGTTTGCTTGAGCCCAGGAGGTTGAGACTTCAGTGAGCTATGATGGTGCCACTGCACTCCAGCCTGGGTGACAGAGACCCTGTCTCAAAGACAAAAATCCCTCAGAAGCCACGACTGTAGTCAGTCACAACCAGGGATGTGGGAACAAGGAAGTGTACAAAAGACGTAAGTCAGGACCAAGACAGACAGGCAGCTGGGAGCCAGGAGTCTGCAGAAGCCAGAGATGAAGATGGGGAAGCCTGCCCATGAGCGGAGCTTGAGATGCAGATTTTCTTTCAAGGTGCATAATTTCCCCCCACCATTTAAACCACTTTAAAGTGTACAATCAGTCGTTTTACTGAACTCACAATGTTGTGTAACCATTCCCACTAATTCTGGAATATTTCTGTCACTCTAGAAAGAAACACTCACCTGTTAGCAGTCAATCCCCATTTTCCCTTCCCCCAGCACCAGGCCACCCCTAACCTTTCTGTCTCCATGGCTTTCCCTGTGCTGGACATTTCATACGAACAGAACCATAGAATACGTGGCTTCTTTCCCTCCGCACTGTTGTCAGGCCTCATGGTGCCATGGCATGCATCAGTACTTCACACCTCTTCGTGGTCAGTAGTGACCATCATATACACAGACTGCACCTGGTTTTCTTTTCCATTCATCAGTTGATGGACATCTGGTTTGTTTCTACCTCTTGGCTATTGTGAATAATGCTGCTGTGAACATTTCTGACATGTTTTTATGTGGACATATGGACCTAATTCTCTAGGCTGTATACCTGGGAGTGGAACTGGTACCATAGTATGGTGACTATGTTTGACTTCTTTAGGAAACTGCCAAACTGCTTTCCAAAGTCTGCACCATTCTACATCCCCGTCACGTGTGGATGAAGGTTCCAGCACTGGCTCCTCATGGGGAGCCCACAGTTATGCCCAGGAAGCCTGGGCAGTGCCTCCTGACTCAAGGCTAAAACCACCCTCCTCCTCAGGGAAAAGAGAAACCACGGCTGCCCGGGTGGTGGTGGCACACTCACCGATGGTGTCCACCCACGTGATCACCTCGTCCCTGCACAGGCTGTGGCAGGTCTGGTTGTCAGGTTTTCCGGAGTGGAGCAGCAGGCACTCGACGCAATCTCTTTGGAAAAAAAGGAAATAAAGGTGGGTGTCAGATAATGTAGAACAGCCTCACACCTGTCCATAGCCTCCTGACAGTGCAGCACCTGGGAAGGCTTTGACTTCTTTCCAGCTACAGATGTTGAGCCTCAGGGAATGTTTCTGCTCTGCCTTTCTTGTTATGTGGAAGCCCAAGCATTCTTGGAGGAACACGTGTGAGTTTAGTGGCATGTCTTGCCTACATGTCAAGTTGCAGACCTTTCAAAATCTGACACCAGGAGCCAAATCCATCTGCACTCTGGTCCATCTAATGCCTGGTGAGGAGTCTGCTCCAAGCCAGAGGTTTCTGGGTGATAAAACAGTATTCCTGGCCTCCCAGAGGTCCTCACACTCCCATGGCCAGAGCTTGATGCCCCACATTGTCCCAGTTCCCCAGATCCTGCCCTGCTCATCACCCAGGGCAGGGATCTCAACCCTCCTTCACATTCAACTCTCCAGGGAGCTATCAAGAGAAATTCCCAGTGCCTGGGCCAACCACACAACCAGGGCCAGGCTTCCTGGGCAATTCTGATGCATGTTGAGGGCTGAGAACCACTGTCCCAGAGAGTCTCAGGTTCTAGCCCTCTTCTCCCTCTCAGACAGAGCCCACCTGCCAGGTCCCCTGGGGCTCTGCTTGCCCACATACCTGTGAATCAGTCTACACTAGGCCCTGGCACAGGCTCTAGGGTGCTGACTTCCTCCCAGGGAACCCTCGTTCTTTCACAGGACCTCCTCTAGAAAATGGGTGACAGCCAAAAAGTGACACCTTGAGCCCCCCTCCTCCTACCTCAGCCTGATGGTTTCAATCAGATAGCGGGTGAAAATGCTGAACTACCACATTCAAGTAAGTGGTCATTATTATAGGTCTATCGTCAAAACCAAGTTCCAGGCATTCTCCCTCTATCATAGGAGACATCCCGGAGAACTGGATTCCTGAGGCCGCAGGGTGGGGAGCTAAGCTGTGCCTAAGGGGCTGCAAGGGAAGAGGTCCCCGGCTCCTCTGGTGGCTGGGGGATGGGGCTATAGGATGGTAAGCACAAAGCTCCAGGGAGGAGTGGGCTGTGGCATGTCGCTCTTAAGGACTTTGTGACGCAGTGGTGACTGGTGGCTTTCGAGGAGGGTGAGACCCCAGGAGAGGCCCCTATAAAACTGGGTCAGGACTCAAGAGCCAGGTGTGCTGGGGAGGCCACCAGAGTACAGGGGGTGACCTCAGAACCTCAGCTACATGAGGGACAGCTGCTCTGTTTCCACAGGCCTGTGGGTACCAAGGGGCTGTGTGTCCAGAAAGGTCTCTGGCAAAATATAGAGGGATGTGCAAATGCAATGTGGTGCCTTTATCATCACCTCCGTGGGATTCAGAGGCCAGCTACCAAAACGTTTCCAGTGCAGAAACTGTGAAGTAGAAGAGCGGAGCTGGATGGAAGCTGTGAGACCATTTCATGAAATCTCCTTTTTACAGAGGACTTGAGGGTCTGTAGCCAGGTGCCCCACCTCTCACACTAGGCCTCCTAAGAGGTTCTGATATGCTTAAGAGCTCAACGATCCCTGACTTGTCCACGAAATCCCCTTCTCCTGGGACTAATTTTATGGAAACATTCTGAAGTTAGAAACAAGATGGTAACTAACTCTCCCGACAGTGACAGCCCCAGAGGGCAGGCAGCTGAGACCTGGCTGGGAGCCAGGAAGGGGTGGCTCCAGCTTCAGTCATTCATGCTGACCCAGCTGCACTCCCAACCCCCACCAGCCTCCCAGATTAGCACAAGGCTAAGAGGGCTGCTTCCGCTCCCAGCCAGGATTCTCTGTCCCTGCCACCTGATTCTCTGTTGTCAAACCACAGCTCCAGGCCGCTTCCAGGAAACATTCCCTCAGTATCCATGTGAACATATCAGTCTAACTTGTATGTCCCATGTGCTGGTCGAAACTTGTAATATATTGTAGTCATGTACTAAAATAAGCCTGCTCTTTAAAAAAATTAAGTTGTTTAGAGAGACTTTGCTTTGAGAGCAGGTTAATTGAAATCAGCTGGGGTTGAGAGTGAACTCACCCAAAGTGAAGAGTGTGGTTGGTTAGATCCAGAAAATGAAGACTGGCTGCCCTGAAACCTCCAGAAAAAAAAGGATGTAGGACATTCAAAACCTGGTGGCTCTTCACAAGCAGCAGTAGAAAAAACAAACTGATGTAAGTCACCATAAAAAGGACTTCGTTTAAAAAAAAAAAAGTTTAAAGTAGGCTGTGAAAGAGACAGAGGGTCAGTGTGGCCCAGAGACAAGTAAGAAGGAATAGTAGGTTGGGTGCAATGGCTCACGCCTGTAATCCCAACACTTTGAGAGACTGAGGTGGGAGGATCGCTTGAGTTCAGAAGTTTGAGACCAGCCTGGTCAACATAGCAAGACCCCATCTCTACAAAAAATAAAAATTAGCCGGGTGTGGTGGTGCCAGCCTATAGTCCTAGCTACACAGGAGGCTAAGGCAGGAGGATTGCTTGAGCCCAGGAGTTCAAGGCTGCAGTGAGCTATGATGGTGCCACTGCATTCCAGCCTGGGTGAGACCCTGTCTCAAAAAAAAAAAAAGATAAAAAGAAGAAATTGTGACATTCCCTTATGGCATCTCTTTGCTTTCCTTGCTCCCTTGACATTGTGTAATAAATAATACATTATTAAGTCCACATCTTCTAGGAAATAGATGCTTTAAACATTTAAAGCTATAGCTGGTTCCCCCTGGGCCTTTCAGCTGATCTAAAGCCAATCCTCCACCGCCCGCTGCTCCATAGGAAGGCAAGGCTCGTTTAATGGGTTCCATGTGTATTGTCCTAGCTTGGCCCCCACTCCCCATTAGCCTAGTGTGCCCCAAGGACTGGGAGCAGAGACTCAGAAAGGTTCTGCGGCTGGTTGCGGGACGTGGGGGCACCTCCCTCAGGCACAAAACGTGGCTAATGGCTGACTCCGTGCTGGGAGAGCCACAGCTATCCGGGCTCCAGATCCAGGGTCCTAACCCTCTCCGGGCTGTTTCTACTTGGATCTGTTTTTTCTCTGCTCTTAGCACGTCTGAGCAGATGTTTGTTTTCTTCCTTACTCTCCCCTATCCCCTCGAATTAAACACATTAAAACTCAGCCCTGTCTATCTTGTCTCTCTGGTAATTGCAGCCAGCTTTCAATTACCCATGCCTGGATTATTTATGGCAAATGTCCAACCAGGGGTTCTGCCACCCAGAATGTTTCTGAGCACAGACTGACCAGCAGCCGCTGAGGCGCAGAGAGCATGAACTCATTTCATTATCAGCCCGAGCCAGACATTTAGAAGGGAAATCTGCCAAGAGAAAAATCACAGATGTGTTCCTCAGCCAAAGAGAAGCGACGTTTGTATTATGATTTGTTTCTGATCCTGTGTCTCTGCCTCCTTAGCATGGATAATGATGACACAGCTGCTTCTCCAGGAAACTCCAAGAGCAAATGTCACTTCTGCTTTCCAGGGGCATCATTCTGTAATTCCCTCTCATTAGCACTGTGGCGGAGCCTGCAGGGCTGAGCAGGAGGAGGTCAGCACAGCTATGGGAGGCCATGGCTGAGTCAGTGAAGGTGGGGGCCCGGGTCTAGACAATCTGTGCATTCAGCAGCAGCACAGAGCCCACGTTCTATTATCTATATAAATGGAGCAGAAAATTTAAAAGCCACTGCAGTGGTTTCCGGCATGCCTTATGCAGGTCGGGTGCCTTTCTCTCCAATTATCTTCTTCTTCTTCTTTATTTATTTATTTTTTGAGATCGAGTCTCACTCTGTTGCCCAGGCTGGAGTGCAGTGGCACCATCTTGCAATCTCTGCCTCCTGGGTTCAAGCCATTTGCCTGCCTTAACCTCCGGAGCAGCTGGGATTACAGGCATGTGCCACCACACCCAGCTAATTTTTGTATATTTAGTAGAGAAGGGGTTTCACCATGTTGGCCAGGCTGGTCTCAAACTCCTGACCTTAAGTGATCCACCCACCTCGGCCCCCCACAGTACTGGGATCACAGGTGTGAGCCACCGCACCCGGCCCCTCTCCAATTTACTTCCTGATGACATTTTGTCAGCATTTCCCACAGGGGTTCTGTGAAACACTGTCTGGGAGATATCAGTGTGGGGGATTGAATTCATCTGAAAAAAGACTTGCACTTGTGAAAGTATTCTCTTGTGAAAGCACACAGTAGCACACACTCAAGGCTCTGAGAAGGTGCTGTTTTTGGTGCCAACACCAGCTGAATTTCATTTCACTCTGTGATCTTGTGATTTCTAAAGATGTTTAGGAATGGAGTAGCAGTTTTGTATTTCTTGTTCTGTTTTTGTTTTCTTACAAAACCCTTATGAAACCAGCATTTGAAAGCCACAGTTTCAGTTACTGTTAGTAAGAGTGCCGCTCCCCAGTGAGGCTGGCTGGGTGGGAGATTCCAGAGGTGGGGAGTGGAGGCTGGCTGGCCCTGAGGACTGCCCAGAGGGACCACAGGCCTGGCCTGGGTGAGAAGTAAGGTGGGGCTGTTGGTGAAACCAGTACCTCTTGGTGCTGCATGCATCCGGGCAGGTGGGGCACTTCTCACACATCTCCCCAAAGGCCCCCGGCTCTGTGCACTGGCACTGCCCACAGAGACAGTGCCCGCGGTCACTGCAGATCTGGCCATCTTTGTTCCGGCATGTGCTGATGTCTGTCGAGCAGTTACAGTTGTCCCCGATGTAACCTGCGTGGCACTTGCATTCCCCGCAGTGACACTCGCCATGGCCTAAAAGGATACATGTGGCACATCAGCGCCTGCTCACCTTTACACATGAGCACATAACCATTTGGTGCCCCACCTGTCAGGACTGGGATTCAGCAGAGGATGGAACACCAACTCTGCCCTCAGAGCCTATTTGGGGAGATAGAGGGCCTAGAACTGGCATGAAGGGACAGCAGAGGACCTTGGCAGCTGGTGTAGCCAGGCTGGGTCTAGACTGGTGCTCCAGGTTGGCCCAGAACTTGGTCAAGTTGGGCCACAGGGCCAGGGCCCAGGGGAGCTTCCTCCTGCCTCAGCTGTGTGAATAATGGCCCCCAACTATGTTCCCACTCCAATCCCCAGAATGTCAGTGTTACCTTACAGCACAAAAGAGCTTTCACAGATGAGATTAAGTTAAGGGTTCGGAGATAGGGGAGTCTCCTGGATTGTCTCTGTGGGCCCTAAATGTAATCACCGAGGTTCTTCGGAGAGGGAGCGAGGGAGACCGAAGGAGACTGGACTACAGAGGAAGGTGGCGATGAGACAACAGAAGCATGATGCTGGCTGCTGGCCTGAAGATGGGGAGGATGCCAAGAGCCAAGGAACACAAGGAATGCAGCTCTGGAGGCTGGAAAGGCCAGGAAGCGGATGTTCCCTGGGAGCCTCTGGGGGAGTGCAGCCTGCTGACACCTCCATGTTAGCCCAGTGAAAATGATTTCAGGCTTCTGACCTCCAGAACTATAAGAGAATAAATCTGTGTTGCTTTGTCACTAAATCTACAGTCATCTGTTACAGCCACAGCAGAAAACACAGTTGTTCTTCCTGAGTCCTGGTTAGAAGCTGAATTCCTGCTCAGGGACCCCAAGCCCAGAGACGATGATTTAGGACCAGATGCTGAGAACAGCAGCAGCAGCTAACACTCACCAGTGTTTCCTGTATGAGCACCTTACACGTAGAAACAAGATGAATCCGCACAGCGACTTATGGGGCAGGCATTATTGTCCTTGTTATATGAGGGGTGAACCCAGAAAGATGATGCAGTGGTTGACAGTCACACAGCTAGTGGCAGCAGAGCCAGGTCCCGAACCCAGAGACTGGCTCCAGGGTCCATGGTCTAAATCCCAGGGTCCACTGCCTCCTATGAGCCCACTCAGCCAGGATGAGAACCTGCAGGGTATGTCCTGGTCCTTCCTTGGGAGTCCTCTCCATAGTCTGCAAGGGTGGAGAGGCAGGCACTGTCTCAAAGGTGTGAGGGGCAGGAGAATCACTTGGCTCAGCAGAATGTGTGTGTTACACTCATGTGTCTGAGTGTGGGTATGAGTGTGTGTTTGAGTGCAAGTGTCCATGAGGAAGTATTTGTGTATGTTTGTGTTTGGGTGCAAGTGTGCATGTGTGTGAAGTGTGAGTTTGAGGCTGCAAGAGTGTGTGTTGGAGTGCAAGTGTGTGGGGGGTGTGTGAGTCTATTTCAGTGTGAGAGTCTGAGTGTGTATGATGTTGGAGTGTGTGTGTGAGGGTGTGTTGAAGTGTGTGTGTTGGAGTGTGAGCATGCTGGACTGTGAAGACTAGATAGTGCCATCTTCCAAGGGACCAAGGGCCTGACAGTGTATTCTCCATTTTCTACACAGTGAGAGGCAGAACACAGTGCTACAACTGGCATTTAAAAAAAAAATCAACTTTGTATTATTTTTTTCCCTAATGCCATTATGTGAAGGCTGATATTAATACAACGAAGAGTTTCATTTGCTGAGTACCACCCATAAACTATTGGGTGCCTGGAGAGGCGGGGTGGGGTGGGGAGTCTTTACATTTTACTACTATATCTGAGTCAGCTACCTGGCTTGTTAACTGGATCCCAGCACCTTCCCTGGAACCACCACCGTGTGGGACCCACAAAATAATGTAGGTCAGGACTCAACTCCAGAAAGCCTCTTCACCTGCCACTTAACTTCCTGCCCTTGCTTTCCCTGGTTCTGTCCACTCTCTAGTGTCCAGAACCTGTAGGTGGCAGGAAGACCATCTGGACAGCCAAGCTTCCCAACCCTCCCGTGCTCAGAAAGCCTCTCGCTTACCCAGAGGGCTCAGAGCCACAGCAAATGTGTGCTGAGCAGGTGCCCTCCCATGTCACAGGCAGCACTGAGGCAGATGGCAAGCCCTCCAGAAGAGGCGAGGAAAGCCAGACTCAGACCTGGAAGTGGCTGTGGAATGCAGTCTTAACTTCGTGGATGCGGGAATATGAGGGGTAAGCCACTGGAAGGAGCGGTGTCCCACTGCGCCAGAGCGGAGGCTGGGGGAATGGGCAGCACCAGCTCATCCCCGGGAGGGAGAGGGTAGCCCCGCCCCTCTTACCTGTCTGGGACCAGCACCACTTCTGAGCCTTGGCAGCAGGAACTCCCCACAGGGAGTCTTCACAGGTGAAATGGATCCAATCCACCCACCTCCCTCCCTCTCTGGTCTCAGGGACCACATTGGCCAAGAGCCTGGTTTCAATGAAAATAGCTCACTGTCAGGGGATCATTTCCCCTCCAACATTTTATTAGGAAAACTTCAAAACCTGCAGCAAAATTGAAAGGATTGTGCAGTGCACATACATCTCCTCCCCACCTAGACCTTCCCTTCACATGTGACACATTGCATCACTGCATGTCTATCTACCTGTCTGCCCATCCACCAATCGTATTTTTAAAGATGCATTACAAAGTGAGTTGCAGACACTGGTGCACGCCAGGGGTATACTTAATACGGCTCTGGAATGCTCCAGTGGCTTGTCTATCATACCATCCCATAAACACAAACATACAAAAAGCAAGAGGCATGCTCAGTGCTATATTCCCAAGCTACAAAGATGGCACAGAGGCCAGGCAGGCATTGTTTTCTTCCCGACTCCAATTGTTGTTGGCAGCACCATAAAATTTCCAAATGTAATATGGCACAATATGCCAAAGTGTCAAGGGTTTGGAGAGGAGGTAGCCTATTCTTTTGCTGAAGGGCCTGGGCGTGGGGTGAGGCATGTGTGCTGAGGTAACTGGCCTTCCCTGTGTAAAGGCCTGCTGGCTGAAGAGGGGCAGTGAGCCAGCCAGGGTGCCTGCTGCTCTGCACTTCCCCCCGGGATGGCTGGGGGGTGGGGAAGCCTAGCTGCTTTGGGTATGTCTGATATCTTACAGGCTTGAGAGTTCCACAGCACAGCCCAAGGTCAAGGTGGTTGAGTGTGCCCCAATCTAGGGCTTAAGAAGAGGAGTTAGGAGGAGTCAAGGGTAGGAGAAGGTGGGAGCTGGTGACTCACCAGAGGTCACCACCATTCCTTGGAGAGGGACAGGACACACAGCCAGAGCTGCTGGCCATTCCTGAAAGCTTCCTACCACCCTTGAGCCCACCCAGTAGCAGCCAGGAAAGCAGCAATGCGTGGGGCCCAGCCTGCTTCTGGGGATGAGCCAGTGGGAGCCATGGAGGGGCTATGGGACATCGGAAAAACCTTCATTTACATGGCTTTTTGGCCTCCAATATTTGATGACTGCAAAGCATAGCCCTAGACAGCCAAACCAGAAAATAAGCCGCAGGCTTCACACTTGATGCAGTTGCTGAAGCCGCCAGAATACTTGTTCTTCGTGACTCTGATAATAGTCCCAGTTGAGTTTACCTTGGGTAGTTCCCTGCCTTTCAGAGACAGCCTACAGCAGCGATGGCAAAGCCTCTGCACAACTCCTCCACACTTGTGGCAGACATCACCGTCTCCTCATAGGAGTCTTCTCCAACGGGCCTGGGCTTGGCCTCAGAATCCTCAACACAGTCCTCCAAGTAGGTTCTACTAAGTGGTGGGAGCTGGCCATCAAGTCACAACTACTGGCCACCTTGGATTCAAGCTTCCAAGACTCCTTTAGAAAGCCTGACCCACACAGTCAAAAGCCACATAGGCCTGGTCACATTTTATCCTAATCCAAATGTCTCAGCTCCCGCAGTTGGCCTCAACCTGCCTTTCCCTCAGCCTGCATGCTCAAAGATTGCTGGCATCTTCTGGTCAGCCCGGCCTCTCCTAATATCCTAGGAGGAACAGGTGTCATTAAAACGACCAGGGTCATTTGGCCCTGTCCCAAGAATCAATAACCTATCAGTCACCATCACGGGGATTTGGAATAACATCCTGGCTGACAGTGTTCAGAGGACCTCCATCAAAACAAAACTAACGTCTACCTTGGCAAAGTGAGTTAAATTTAATGATGCCCACAGAAAAGATATTTTCATTACACATAGATAGGGATATTGAAGGATGTGTGAAATCCCTGTGCAAGCTGTGAATTGCTACATATGCAAGTTATTATTAGTATCTTTGTTAAAGTGATCGATGGCCAAATAGACAGGAAGTTGTAAATGTGTCTATTTATACAGATTTTCAGCATTATAGAATTCAACAGCTTTCCATCAGCAAAACAGCACTTGTGTGGGCTATGGGCCAAGACACAGCCCCTCATCTCCTCTTATAAAATTGAATGCTGGCCATTTAGAGGAAGGGGCAGGCTGGGAGGCTGGAAGGAGTGCAGCCAGTGGCCTGTAAGCCCAGGGAGATGTGAGAGGAAGGCCCCCATCAACACTCTGTGGAGGTCAAGGAAGGCAGATCCTAAAGCAGCTACAAGGCTGCACCACAAACCAGTGAGGGCAGAATCCAGCCTGCAGTGGGTGAGGAGGTGGTGACAGTGAGTGTAGGCACCTCCCGTAGGTAACCTAGTTGTGTGGGGATGGGGGAGATGGGGCACAAGGAGAATGGGGGATTTTGCAGATGGGATACATTTGAACATTTTCAGATTAAAGAGATTCAGGAGAAAGTACGGGCAGGGTGGGGAAATGAAGGAATCAAGGGAATGGCAAACTCTGAAGAGATCACAGTAGAGATGGAGTGGGAGGAAGGAGAGGCTGGGCTCAGGGCTAGGGTGTGGCCATGGGGAGATGCCGAAGTCTTACATTCCAACAGCAGAGGAGTTCAGGGAAACACGGTGACCAGCTGCAACAAACTGAGAGCATGGGCTGGAGCTAGTTCA